GCTCCCGTAGCTCCTTGAACGCTTCATGCTCCTTATCGGACCAACTAAAGACCACGTCATTTTTCAATAATCGGGTCAGTGGTGCTGATTTCTTCGCAAATCCCTCGACAAAACGTCTGTAGTACGAGGCTAGCCCGAGGAAACTTCTGACCTCGTCCTTTGATGCTGGGGTGGGCCAGGATTGGATAGCCTGCACCTTCTCTGGGTCGCAGCGGACGCCCTTAGCCGAAATAACGTGCCCCAGAAAGGTGATCTCGCTTTGCGTAAACCGGCATTTGGCAGGTTTGAGCTTCAATACAATTTGTCTGAATCGTTGCAGAACCTCACGAAGATGGGTCAGGTGTTTCTGTGGGGTTCGGCCATGCACGATGATATCATCGAGGTACACGAGACAATTACTTGGAATGAATCCCTGCAAGACAGTCTGCATCAGCCGTTAAAAAGTTGCTGGGGCATTCGTGAGGCCAAATGGCATCGTCTGGAATTCATACAACCCCGAGGGAATGGCAAACGCCGTTTTACACCGGTCTTGCGGTTCGATTTCTACTTGCCAGTAGCCCGTAGCGAGGGTCGTGAAGAACTGAACCCCGTTCAGCGAGTCCAATGTTTCGTCGATCCGTGGCAAGAGGAAGGAATCTTTCTCGGTCACACGGTTGAGTTTTCGGTAGTCGACGCAAAGCCAGAAGCTGCCGTCACGCTTCTTTACCAATACCACGGGAGAGGCCCAGGGGGGAGCCGATGGTCGAATGATATCGCATTCTAACATGCGTTCGATCATATCTTGTAAGGGCTTCTGGTATTGCAGTGGGACACGACGAGGAGGACTTCGACTGGGATAGGCGTTGCCGGTGTTATTACGATGTTTCAATAGCCCGGTTCTCCCAAACTCGGAGTCACGCCAAGCAAACACATTTTGGAATTCAAGTAGTAACTTCTCGAGCTTACCTCTAATGGCTTTGTCTGATACTGCGAATGTTGATACCAATTGTTTAACATCGCTAATGCTTCCCATTGAGAGTGATGCCTTTCTCTTGGTCTGGGAGTGTGTGAATGTGACCCGTTGGCCCTTGGTCGTTATTAGGTGTTTGGGTAAATCAATTGTTGTGTGATTAGTTTGGAGAAAGTCCATTCCCCGGACGACATCCCATGGAGGACCATCGGACACAATCAGTGTTTGTCGAATCTTCAAGCTATTCACTGTGATAGGGGTAGTTACGGTTTCCTTGATGTGTAAGGGGCTGTTGTTTGCGGTGACTAACTTAACCTCCGTTTCACTGAGCGGTACACCTACGGGAACTCGCTGACTATGGACTACCGAGCGAGCTGCCCCCGTGTCCACCAATGCCTGTTGTCTTTTACCCCATATTGTAACGGATACCATAGGATTACTTTTCGGATCATTGCAATGGAACGGGCAAAAAGAAACTTTCGACTCACTGGCTCGATTGC